GAAGAAAGATTTAAGTCACAAATCATTTTGAAAAAGTCTTAAATCTTAAGTCTTAAGTCAGCCTTCGAAAAATGAGTTAAAATCAAATGACTTAAGTCATTAAAATGATTTAAATCTAAAAAAGATTTAAGTACTTTGTATTGTTTTGCTCCAACCTAAATAAAGTTCCGGCGCCTTGGAAGAAGTTTTGTCCCACCTGGACAAAAATGCTGGCTACGTCCTTTACTAACACTGCAATCTTGTCAGTTTTAATCATCTGCAACTGATGCCACCATGGTTAGCGAAACGCGAGTTCAGTGTTAGAAGTAAAGTTTTTTGGTGTATTATTGTGAATTAGTGTTTAATTTTGCAGTTTTAACATCAAAGGTTCCAAACTACAGCTGTAATAACAATTAAAGCAAAATCATAACTTTAAATTAACAAACAGGTCGTCCTTTATGTGTGATTATTAAAGTTAGTCTTGCCAGTAAATAGGAAAAAATCATATTTAATACCGAGATGCTAACCATTAGGTTGATCACCCATTTAATATAACTGTAAACATAAATGTTCCGTTCATGTACAATGCTTGATCTTGATGCAGAGTTTCGAGAAAATAGAAATATCTCAAAACATTTAACGATAGAGTTAAACTCGTCGCCGACTCAAATCCATTAGCAGTAAAACTTCAGAGAAATAAATAAACATAGAGTAACGAATAAATATCATTGAGTTCTCGTAAAACAATAGGAATAAAAAAATGGAAAAAGGCTGAATATTTTAACAATCAAAACATAAAATAAAAATGAATTTAAAGTAAAATAAAGTAAAGTATTTTAATTTAACGTCTTCTCTTTGCTGTGCTAATCTGAATGGGATCTACTTTGTTTACGCGGAATCCGAACAGCGATCCTCGGCTGTATAATGATATATAGGCCATTGACCATTACCAATGATCTGCCATTCTACCAAGTCGGACAGTGGTCAATGGCCTACCGATTGGTGAGTGTCTAAATCGACCATTACTCATGAGATGAGATGGGATTCGTCCTGTCTCAAACCAACGAGATTGAGCAGTGTGTGTCAATATATTTTGCACTTTTGTCCATAGAACAACAGCACGACACAGTGTACCTACAGATGGTCACCCGTCCATCTATTCGCATCATCCAATGTCATTTAACTACTTTGGTGATGTCGGCATAGCCCGATAGAAAGTGATAACCGCAGACACGCGTTGCTGGCTTATGGAAGTAACTTGGAGATGGATAACTTGGAGATGGAAAAAAAGATAGAAGGATCAAACGAGAACCTAAAGCCCCACTTTTTGCCATCTTATTTTTTATATAGTTTCTTGCAATATTATCTTTTCTATTTTTGAAAATCAAAAAAATTACTCGGGCATCTTTGGGCCATGTTCATAATTTTATTTTTTTGATTTTTAGTATAAATAATATTTCTTATACTTATGTAACAGCGAAGTTTCAAAATGAAAAAAAAAACGCAAAAGCTTTGTCTACAAATATTTAGAACTGCTCTTGGTTTATTTATTTCTATGGAGGTAAAATTTTACTTCGCATATGCGTAAACAATGATAATATCCATGATAAAATCTGCGTGTAGATGTTATCCAGGTTCAACCTGTAATTTCAAGTTAATATCTTGAGGATATACGGTATTATAGATATACTCTGCAATGTCGATTTAAAGCGTCTTTGTCTAGCGACAGTGTTAAAATTAAAATTCAAAAGTAAAACAAAAAAGAAATCAATATCCAATTTTACAATACCGGGTGCGTCTCAAAAGTGGCTCACCCTTATAACTTTTTTATTTTTTCAGATAAATAAACGAGATTTCGTATGTTAGTATATGACATAAATTGGGATTGATTGACGTATTCAATTGTTTTCGGTCACTTCCTGTTTCACCAGAAATGACTACAACTTTTGAATTTTAAATGGCACCCTCGGTATTTTTTTACTTTATTCGATAGAAAATGACACTCTGAATCGAATGACGTATCACAAGTCAACTTTTGACATTTTCGCATATGGTTTATTTGAAATTGTAACATGCGGTTTCTAAAGACAATTTGACTCGAAATACCAAGTGTGTGGTATCAAATAATTCGTAAAAAAATGCTTTTTCCAAACATGCTAATGAGCCACCCTCGTTCCATTTGAAAAAATTGAGATATGATTAAAAATACGATTTGGACATCTTTTAACTAGCCAGAACAAGACACTAAAAAGATTAGACGATCAAATGTATTTCTCCAAGACTCCTTGATTAAAAATTAGTGTTTTTAACACAGTGGTGGCACTCCAGATTGAAATTTAAAATTTAATTTGTTTTTGAATGACTATGTCAAAAGTTGACATATGATATGTCTTTAGATTCAGAGTGTCATTTTCTATCGAATAAAGTAAAAATATACCAAGCGTGCCATTTAAATCAAAAGTTGTAGTCTTTTCCGGTGAAACCGGAAGTGACCGAAAACAATTGAATACGTCAGTCAATCCCAATTTATGTCATATACTGTATATACCAAATCTCGTTTTTTTATCTGAAAAAATAAAAAAGTTATAGGGGGTGAGCCACTTTTGAGACGCACCCGGTATATTGTATTTTAAGGTCCGGGTTGTACATCGTCGTTGGAAACATAGGAAATCCCATGCAAATTTTAAACTGTCCGAATATTGGTTCCTTATATTAATTTTACAGCTAAGTCGCAAATATGTTTTTTAATACACATGGCCAAATTTGAACAAACCAATTTTAAGGAATTTGAAAAAACTGCATCTATTTTTAAAATACAACTGAACAGGTAACAATGACGCAATTGAAATGTGCTCGAAGATCTCGCAATTATTTCCAATGTTTTAATTAATAATCAGGCGGTTTAATCGCACCAAAAGAGAGCCCTTAATGTGGATGACTAGTCAGTGATGATTTTACTGTGGAGTATTCAATGTTTCCTTTAAGCCTATATTTTAATGTAGTTTTTAGAGAAGGTTTTTACCACGTTGATGTCCTGAGGATGGAATAACTAAATTCCGACAGCTTGACCATTAACAAAGTGTATTAATTCTAGTCCAAACCCTTCAGAATGCAACCCCACTAATTCCTAGATTTTCTTTGTCACTAATCAGTCGAAATAATAACAAAAAAAAGTAGTTAGTAAGTAGTAGTTTGCAAGACTACATTTTTCTTTATAATAGTACCTTAATTAATTTGAGACACATTTATTTTTGTAAATATATCTAAAATTATTTTTTTTAATCACAGATTGTCTGAAGTATCTGGGGGGCACGGTATCGGCAGTGCCAGTGCCCCCGCCAAGTCGAGCACAGTCATACCATCCTTTTGTCGAAGGCATTAGCGGCACTTTTGACCACCCTGTAACTTCGTTGTGGATAAAGTAAGAATATTAATTTTTACTAAACATGAAGACATACTATAACTGGCTATATTACCAAAATATCTAGTAATTATACCTCATAGTTTATGAATTATCGCTTTGCAAATTTCTTTAATTTCGACATTGACTCACTGACAGATCTTCAAAATTCTAAGTTGCTTCTAGAATCTAGATGTGTCACAAACTTCAAATTTCGAATTTTAAGGTTTAAACTTACAACGGCTGGAAAAAATGGAAGATCTCGAAATAATCCTTATGGATTAAAAGTTAGCTGTCTAACCTCTACCGATAGCTGAATTTCCAGTCGAGAAAATGCTGGAAAACTTGAATTAATCGATTTGATATTATCCCATTTTATTTATATACGAAGGCAACAACAATAATTCAAGGATTATGAATTAGTGCTACTCAAACTTCTTTAACTTCGACAGTGACTCACTCACCGTCATCAAAATTCTAGGGTACTTCTAGAAGAGTTACAAATTTCAAATTTTGAATTTTAAATAGCATTAATCATCCGCTGTAATACCCTGAACTGTAATAAAAATACCTATTTAAAGAGAAATATATTTACTACTATTCGTTCTTTATCAATATTACTTTAAATTATTTTCTAATTCTTAAAGGACTTACATGCATAGAAAAACTAAATAATACTAAATAATTACAAAAATTTACATAAACAATAATCATTATGATCACTCTGGGGCTCGATTTTCTACAGCAGTATCGGTCACCTTAAAATAAGAAAAATATAAGAAAATCATTTCATATGCCTTTACAAAACTTAACTGTAACTAACTATATAGGCCATTGACCATTACCAATGATCTGCCATTCTACCAAGTCGGACAGTGGTCAATGGCCTACCGATTGGTGAGTGTCTAAATCGACCATTACTCATGAGATGAGATGGGATTTGTCCTGTCTCAAACCAACGAGATTGAGCAGTGTGTGTCAATATATTTTGCACTTTTGCCCATAGAACAACAGCACGACACAGTGTACCTACAGATCGTCACCCGTCCATCTATTCGCATCATCCAATGTCGTTTAACTACTTTGGTGATGTCGGCATAGCCCGATAGAAAGTGATAACCGCAGACACGCGTTGCTGGCTTATGGAACTAACTTGGGGATGGATAACTTGGATGGAAAAAAAGATACAAGGATCAAACGAGAACCTAAAGCCCCACTTTTTGCCATCTTATTTTTTATATAGTTTCTTGCAATATTATCTTTTCTATTTTTGAAAATCAAAAAAATTACTCGGGCATCTTTGGGTATCATTTGATATTATCCGATTTTATTTATATACGAAGGCAACAACAATAATTCAAGGATTATGAATTAGTGCTACTCAAACTTCTTTAACTTCGACAGTGACTCACTCACCGTCATCAAAATTCTAGGGTACTTCTAGAAGAGTTACAAATTTCAAATTTTGAATTTTAAATAGCATTAATCATCCGCTGTAATACCCTGAACTGTAATAAAAATACCTATTTAAAGAGAAATATATTTACTACTATTCGTTCTTTATCAATATTACTTTAAATTATTTTCTAATTCTTAAAGGACTTACATGCATAAAAAAACTAAATAATACTAAATAATTACAAAAATTTACATAAACAATAATCATTATGATCACTCTGGGGCTCGATTTTCTACAGCAGTATCGGTCACCTTAAAATAAGAAAAATATATGAAAATCATTTCATATGCCTTTACAGAACTTAACTGTAACTAACTAGTAAATATTATCCACACAATAAATAAATAATATCCGAATAACAATATTTTTTCTCAAACAACGTATTTGGTACTACGAGTATATATGGTTATGTTTAATTTTCCTCTAGATAGTATATGTTATTAAAGATTCTGAAACTCCACTATTGATATTATCTAGTCTTGAAAAAAGTATTACATCAAGTCGGTTATTAAATGACACTGTAAATAAATATTGTCTACATATATCGTCAGTCTCAAACGCACCAAAAAGTAATAATAGGCCAGTCGCCAAGTATTAAAAAATAACTTATGGCGGGAGCAAATCCGGACAAGCTAGAATAAATTTTATTTTATTTAGTTTAGTGTAAGGAACCACGTGTTAAACTTGCACCACCCCAAAGCCCGGATTTAGCCGCCATCTTGGAAAAAGTGGCTAAAATTCAGTTTATTTTTCATTATTTGTCAATAACTCGATTTCTGTCAACTTTAGTGCAAAAAATGTACAGACCAAAATTAAAGAAGAGGAAACACTCTATAAAAAACGTTCTATGTACTTTTTCTGTGCGACGACCCGTTTCCAAGTTATCTCGGTTTAAACACGCTAAATATATTATAAGCAGTTTAGTTTTAGAATAGTTTCTTCTATTCTAGGCAGTTCTTGTCTTTCCGAGAACCTTACTCTTTTTATTTCTCCACGCATTTAGTGGCTGCGACACCACATCCGCATTATACAGACAAGAAAAAATGAAATTCGTTAAAGTTTTACAGAAAGAAAAATAATTATTACAGACAGCTGAACAAACTTTCAAAGACCCAAACGCATCCCCAGAAGATATAGAAAAAGCTGGAGAACGATTTCTTCTTCATCTATATGGATCCCAAACCAAACCAAAAATGCGACTCATTAGATAAGTACAGATACCCAGTGTTTCGTAAAATCTATTACCAAAAGCTTACCAAACCTAGCATCATTACCGCCGACCAAAGACGCAGCTCGCTTGCACTCCTTCCGTACGTACAGCTATGGTATGGAAATGAAAAATCGCCTCTAGATTGGGGATGGAAAAATTCAAAGAATGGGTTGCCCATTGCTACATCCCAAGATGCAGCTCCCCAAGAATTGTTAAATCTGATTTCATGTAAATGTGCCAAAAGTTGTAATAAGATGTATTACAGTTGTAATACATCTTATAGTTGCCGCAAAGCAGGTTTGCGTTGCTCGGTAATGTGTGCACTTTGTGCATGTTCGAATAGTTTGGAGGTGGCAAAATTAGACGAAGATGAGTAGGAGGACAATTTTCCTCTCGGTAAAGATCAACGAAAAGAATATTCTGCACCTTATGAACCAGATCCGGAATATGATACAGATGTGGAAGACATTCAGGAAGATTATATTGAACAGCCAGTAACATAAAAAAAACGAAGGAACTCTGATGAACCTTCCACCTGAAAAGAAACCTAAGTTGGCGACATGTGGATTAGGCCTATTGGAAATGGGGAGTTCACTAAAAAAAACGCGCCGGTTACTTACTTTACCTCAAGGCAGCTTCCCGAGGGGTGTCTCACTATTGGAATTACCTGTACATTTTCTTGGCAGTCGCTGGCAGTCATTGGCAGTCTTATGGCAGTCGCCTATAATAATTACATGGCAGTCATAGGCAGTCTTCTTCATAGTCATTGGCAGTCGCTTAGCAGTGGAAGGATATTTTGACAGTACGTGTACATTTTTTACCCGAGTGAGACACCCCTCGCAGCTTCCTGAGAGATAAGGCGGTTAAACTTGATTTTCCACCAGTCGCGCAACAACAAAAATTTAGTCCGTTATTGTGGTCATAATGCAAATTGCGTTTTTAGGCTTTATGTTGTTACGGTTCAAAATTTCACCGTAACTTATTTTACTTATTTTGCTTATTTTTAGGAATAAAACTAAAACTTACTTGAATAACTTGAATAATAACGTTTAATTAGCTAACTTCTTAACTGTACATATAATTTCTAATAATATCTTATCTATTAAGTCTCATCATCACAACAATTTCTTTGGATGGAGTTGTCTCCGATAACTGTAATATAAAACCTGATTAATATAATATCAATTTGTCTGTGTAAAACTTACCTTTCTTTCTACAGTGGTAACTAATTTTTTATTTAGACTTATGCTTGTGTTAGGATAATTCTTGGCATTATTCTTCGGAGGATTCTTGAACATAGACTTGATGTGATTATCTTTTGTCTGTTTTCAACGCAACAAGTGGGAATATTGGGTCTGCAATATACATATGGGTTAAGGATTTTATTATGTATTTTTCCTGTGTGTAATCAATTGGTTTTACCTGATTATAGTTGATTTTTCCCTAAATTCATCTTGTTTATATTACGATTTACAGACTGACGTTTCAATTGTTTGTCAGCTGATTGTGTGACACCGGCGTTGAAGGTTGACAGATCTTTGTAAATTAGGTTTTCGATCTTTTTAAACGGTTTTTTTATATATGATCGGAAAATGTATTAATAATTTTCCGAAGATATTATGTTCGTATAGGGATTATTATAATTTTATTATGATGTAATAAAATGTTTCACTCAATCTGTATGCATTAAATAAAATTTTATGTCAAATTTTATTTTGGGTCTTTTGTTTTACTGGTTGCCTGTGTTATATTTTATGTTGGTATTTCTGACTTGGAATCGAGCATGTTCTGAGGATTTTGCAAATAACTCGCCCTTGTACTTCGAACCGCCGTGGTAAACGCAGCATTTCTGATCCTGACTGACTGATAAAAACTCCATTGAAGTTTTTGGCCTTGCTTTGCCGTTCCGAATTGGGATTGTTTCTTTGGAGTTGTCTGGAATTCTATTGTGGGTCGAGAAGACTGGTTGTGCAGTTTTGGCACTAGTTGTGGGCGATTTTGGCCTGTGTGTGGTTCAGAATTCCAGAGAAGCCTTGTAGAGGGATATATTCGTCAGTTGGTAAGAGACATACGTACACTGTGTAATGTTCTTTTGTACAACTATTTATTTTAGAGGATAGGATTTTACAACACGGACTGTGTGTGATGGTCGTACGAGATGAGTACGAGGACTTTTAAAGAACCCTTTTCCATGGAGTAACGTGTAGCGACGCCATTTTGTTTTGGAACGTCCACATGGTGGAAAGGTATTTTATTATGTCCAAATCAAAACATATCACTAAAATAGATCATATTTTAGGGTTCTTCCTCTTCTTTCTTTTCCTTTACTGTACTCCTTTAGAATTTAAGATGATTTAGCTTAAGATTTTACCTTTTTTTTTGTACTGGATTTGGGGTACTGCGTACTGCAACTAATGCTACTGTGACGAGGAATGCCACTGGGATACTGAAGACCAGACATCTGGATTTTCTCATGGACTGACTGGAACGACCACTGGATGACAGATAAAACTTTAATCATCCCTTATTTTATTGCGTTTATTATTGATTAAAATTTATTACATTAAATATACGATCGTATGTGAACTTGGTATACCAGGGGATTTTTACATTTAAATTTCATTTTATTCTTTATAGTCATTTAATCATGGCATCAGGGTTGTTCACAGTTTAGTCACAACAATATTTTGTGATACTATTCATGATTTAATTTATTTTACGGATAGTTCATTTTTACTAGTATATATATAATTCATTATTTCGTATTTAAATATTTGCTACATTTTATGATAGATCTTGACAATTTGTTTCAACTTTAAATTTAGTATTTATTAAACGAATCCAGTACATTTTAGACTTTTCAATCAGTACACTGTTTCCATACACCTCCCTTTTGATATCTCTTGTTCTGTGCATATATTTTTTAATTATTTACTGAGCTAGCCGGAACCTATTTGTAACGGAACCTTGTGAACCTAAAGTTCCCGTTATAAACTTTGTCACCCAACGGTGGCGTTTTAATGTATCGGGGATGCCGCTTAAGGTGGTGTGGAAACAAGTACAGTTAACCACGGATATATTGAACACGTACATTATATGAAACTTTAATTTTGTTTTTGTAAAATTCGATACTTTGGGCAGTCGCACAAAAAAAACTCATTCGACGGTGTTTATAGAGTTTTTCCTCTTCTTTAGTTTTGGTCTGTACATATTTTGCACTAAAGTTGATAGAAATCGAATTTTAGCCAACTTTTCCAAGATGGCGGTCAAATCCGGACTTTAAGGGAATTTCAAATTTAATATGTGCTTCTCGACACCAAAATAAACAAAATAAAACTTATTCCAGCTTGTCCGGGTTTGCTCCCGCCATCGATGCACTTGCCGACTGGCCTATAATTGGTTAACGCATTTTGACTGAATTTAAAAATGAAACTAATAATTCGTAGAAGACTTTTTCAGAATATAGCTCTGTATTCTGGAAGAAATCTAATCAATTGATATATTATATAAATCAAAAAAATGTTGGGCCAAATAAGGATGTATTAGTCTGTTGGCCTATATTTGATATTAATTAAACTTTTAGTTACGTAATCGAGGGCGCGATTTTTAAGTTCATTGTTGCCAACCATGGACATATTCGGCACCTTGCTGACTAACTGGAATTCAAATTTCGCGCTAGGGATTCAGGTGGTAGTTCTGCTGTAAAAATATCAAGTTGCCGCATTTATTTATTTATCACCTGACATTGTAATTAGTTTTGACACTTTAGTTTTGTATTAGGAGTTTTTGGTTTAAATAAATGTGTTGTGATACTTTAAGCATAAAAGTGTTTACTATCAGACCTTGCAGTCGAACAGTTGTTCTTTTTAGAATCTCTTTTAGTGCAAAGTGGTGCAAGATAGCTTAATAGCCGTAAAAAACTCATCGCAACTTATTAGAATATTTTGAACGGGAAAGCGGTAGTAATGGCCCTTTATGTCCCTTAAGTGCTGCTAAGTAGGTAAGTTTTGTTGAAGTAAATAATAACTGTTTATATATTTATAATTAATTTATTTTTGTTTCCTAAAATATTTTGATTAAAAGAAAATATATAAAAGTGGGCGACGCTGTGCCGGTCAAGCTCAAGTTTCTTTAGTATAAACTGTATATTGTATACATATCTGTAGATTTAGGCTGGACGCACACAAAAAGAGCAGAACAGTCAAAAACGTTTTTACTAAATCTGTTTTCATAATATGATGCTTCTTTGTAAATTAAATTGGCTATTGCACACATCCTTCGCGATGTTTAAAAGAGGTTTAGGTTCTGTATCTGCTGCCAAGCATATTTGATTGTAAATAAAATATTTTGTTTCTCTTCAATACACAGGGTGAGTCTTAAATAAGTCATTTGTAAGGTAAATACTTTCAAACCATTTTAGACCACGATAAAAGAAACATATTTTCTCTTTACCGTTTTTCAAATAAGTCCAAAATAAACGAGTTATTTTATTTAAAAAATAAAAAAAAATTTTTTTTGCTTAAATTTTGAAAACCACTCGATTAATATAACATTTTTCTGGGTTTCCTTCCTAGTAAATTTAATCTACTACCTATATTGCCATATTATTAAGAAATTATGTTTTTTATCAAAAACTAAAAAAAAATCCAAATTTTCAATTTTTTTGCGAAAAAAACCTCAAAGACTTATTATAACTCACTTTTAACTTATTTAAGACCCACCCTGTATAATGGTTTTACATAAGAAAAAAAACGCTTTTGCCCGGAACAAAAATGTTTTTAACTAAAATACTTTTGCTCTTTATATGTGTCCAGCCTTAGGCTGTATTCCGTAGTTAAACCAGGTGAACCAGACCAGTAAAGTAAAGAGCGGTTCCTGAAAAACATCGGTTAAATAGAGGACGGTTTGATAACATATTTGAAATGTCAAATATGTTGACGTTTTCTAAATATTAATACCTTTATTAAAGAATTTATATATGTTTACAATGTATGATGTTTTTAACGTACCTAGTCTCTGCTTTTATGCACGATTCTTCTTTTTAATGGAGTTTAATATTGAAAAGTACTTTATTAATGAATTGTTAAACTCATGATTTCATTCAATTTTCCTAACTTTAAGAACCAATGGTCGCATAATAAGTTTAAATGGTCCTAAAAAGTAATTCTATTTAGTTATTGAAATTTCTTTACCTTTACGATCTACCTCCATTGCTTCTGGATATAAATACAAAATAATAACACAAATTTTATAAATTAAATGAGGATCTCACTCAAACTTCCAATTTATTTCTGCTTTATTTCTGCCACATAAATGACAATGATTGACAAACAAAACTCGAAAAACCTTACCCTCCCCCGCTTGTTAGTTTGGTGACAATTATAGTAGATATTTTTCAGGAACCGTTCCGTAAAAATAAAACTTTAAGGAAACCGATATAAACGAAATAAAAAACCATAACCAAGGTAAGAAACCGAATACAGAGCCTTAGTTGTAATTTTGTTTTTACCTGAATTAATTCAGAACGGTCAGTTAATTCCGGCCCGTCCATATGCAACGTTGTCGTATCAGCGTAACGCTCCAAAGCTTGAGTATGAATTTGCTTGAGTAAATCAGGATAATGCCTGACCACGCTCAAAAACTGATGCCTATTCAACCGAAACACCTGACATGGTGTCACGACCACAACCGTGGCCACTCTGGCCACGTTCACCACCAAAGATATCTCTCCAAAATGGGCACCGTCTCGTAGGTAACAGACTTCCTTTCCTTGTGGAGTTTTCACTACTACAGTACCGGCTAGAATGAAGAACATGCTTCGACCTGAAAAGAGTTTTGTATTTAATGTAGTGACGAGGGAGATGCACACAAAGCAAGACCAAGACCAACACTAGCGATAGAACTGCAAGCCTTAGACCATGACCCAGCATCAGTGGCGGCTCGTCAGGGTAGGCAAGGTAGGCGGCGCCTACCCTAAAATTTCGGCAGAATTTAAGCGGTTTATTATATTACATTATTTATTAATGTTGCCAATACATAAAAATACTGTTAATACACGGAAATGTGTTGTAATAATCAATATTATTTTAATATTTGTGGTCTTGTATATTAAAATATTCACTACCGCTGGTGTACGCTGACTGTGCCGTTGCGTTAGAAAGCAAAATAATTTTAACCGTTGGAGTACTGCAAACTGCAAACGCCTTTGTTCGGCCATTTCTACATCGCCTACTATCAGAGTCAATGCAGGACGTACGGCAGTCTTCTGTCTCTGTCTAACTCATCGTGCGGTAGCGACGCGACGTAAGTCGGAGTTGTATCGCATTAAGGCGGGGCTTAGGCGAAATCTCCGGTCGCCTTCGCCGTCGGGATGTATTACATTTCGTTAAGGGGATGTTTCATAAGATTCATTATACATAGCATTTCAAACTTTTATATGAAAATTCAAAAAACATTTTTAAAACAAATTGGAAACGTTATTCAAAATTATATAACCGGTTGTATTTCAGAACACGCCACAGAAATAAAATAAACCGAAATAAAAGAGCGCCTTATTTTATTCGGTGCAAGAAGACGATACAACAAATATTACAGTGAAGTCTTAGTATACTAATTCAATTCGATATGTTAATAAATGTTATTTTATGAAATATTAGATAACATTGTTATACTTGATGTAATAAATTAATGTAATACTGTTAATGTACGGAAGTGTGCTGTAATAATTAACACATTAAATTATTTTTATTTATCCTATAATAAATCCGAAATTTAAAGAATCTATAAAAAAATTCCAACGCATTTAATATCTGATTTAACAAACTTGTTATATTGATACATTTCCAAAGCATTTAATATTCATTTAACGAACAAAAAATGTTATTGACCAACATAAATTAATGAATAAATTGCAGGTATTAATAATAGATATGATAATTTCAATTATAAAATAATTTAAGGAGAATAATCCTGGAAATATATTTCCAGAGGCTTTCAAATTGTTTATTTTGGTTGTTACTACACCATTTACAAGTACTTGGGTTGAGATACATTTTTCATGTTTGAAATGCATTAAAATTTATAGTAGAGATTCTATGAAAAATAAACGTTTATCGCCACTTGCCTTACTTTCAATCTAAAAAGATCTTTTCACAGGGGGTTAGGGAGGGCAAATAGACGCAACTAAAATTTTGTCGCCTACCCAGTCACACGAGTCACGAGCCGCCACTGCCCAGCATGCAAGGCTCTTGTAGTGTTGCAGTTTTAGATCACGTTTTTTATGGCAATTATAAATTATATAACTATTATATATATGTTGCACTCACTATATTTTTTTTTTACTTTATTCGATAGAAAATGACACTCTTAATCGAATGGCATATCATGTCAACTTTAGCCATATTCGCTCAAAAACAAATAGTATTTTAAATTTCAATCTAGAGTGTCATAGCTGTGTTAAAAAAGTTAATTCTTAATCAAGGACCCTTGGAAAATAGATTTGATCATCTAATATCTTTAGTGCCTTGTCCTGGTCGGTTCAAAGATGCCCAAATCGTATTTTTAATCATATATCAATTTTTTCAAATGGAACGAGGGTGGCTCATTAGCATATTTGGAAAAAGCATTTTTGGAAAAAGCATACGAATAATTTGATACTACACACTTGGTATTACGAGTCAAATTGTCGTTATGAACCGCATGTTATAATTTCAAATAAACCATATGCGAAAATGTCAAAAGTTGACATATGATATATCATTCTAGACAGAGTATCATTTTCTATCGAATAAAGTAAAAAAATAGCGAGGGCGCCTTTTGAAAATTAAAAGTTGTAGCTATATCCGGTAAAACCAGAAGTAATCGAAAACAATTGATTATGTCAGTGAATCCTGATTTATGTATACTAATATACCAAATCTTCTTGTTTTATCTGAAAAAATAAAAAAAGTTATAGGGGTGAGCCACTTTTGCGACGCACCCGGTATATTGTTTTTAATGCAACTGGTACATTAAAAGTTTATTATACAGTTCTATCTTTACCGAACATCCCGGCTTTAATAATGACATCTCCAGGCATGTATATTTCACATGACAGACTGGCGCTCAACTTTTCCAAAATACTTTCAGGTAGATGGTTGAACAAGATTACACTCTGTGTACTTTCTCTAGAAATTCTGACTAAAATCTCCCGACGTAGAGCATCTGAGATTATTCTTACTATAGTAGACTCCTACAAAAGTTAAATAGATATAATAATTGAAAAAGACAGCTAAAATGTCATTTATATTTGTTACTTCTAATGATCATTTTAGAGAATCATCAAAAGTAACGAGTGTAGGTAATTTTTGTTTTATCCAAAGTTTTCACAAAAGATGAAAAATTAAACAATTTGTCCTCTGACCAACTTTCAATAAAAGAAACGATTCCGATCCGATGATTTATCCAGAGTGAAGGCTTAGTGAAAAGTGTAAACAGACCCGTTTTTGTTTTTTAGTTCACTTCACAAATACCAGTCGAATCTCTGTCACAGGTCACAGTTTCTTGTGTTTACTATTGAGAGTTTTAAATTTTGATTAGATTTAAATTTATTACAAATAATAAGCTTATTGTAATTATTCGTCATTATCATCTTTGTTTGCTTCTCAAATGAGACATTCCAGACAGACCTGGTATCACAATGATATTAACTTCGAAAAATGGACTTTCACGCCAATGCCTTTGTCCCTAAAGTTGTTTTGGACCTTTTTACAGACAAGAAATAGAGAGTAATGGGGACCACAATTGTGGCCGTACGCGGGATGTAAAACAGCGAACTCGATGAAAATATGTGAACTCGGATGATTACACAGTGTTGGTCCTGCTGAGTGTTAAAAGTATGTTTTGGTGTATAGTGATTGTTTTGTGTCAATCTCTATTTATCTACTTTCTTCTTCTTTCAGCGCCTATCCTCTATGGATGTTTGCAATCATGTTAGTCCATACAATCCTATTGACAGCCGTCCTGAATAAATATACGGTCGACATTCCCGTCCACTGTTTAATATGTTTCAGCCATGATGTTCGTCGGCGTCTCTGACGTCTTCTACTATCTATTTTGCCCTGCAGTATTAGTTGGATAAGTTGGTATTTATGCGCATCACATGCCCAAGGTATGCCATTTTTCTCACTTTCACACTATGTACAATTTCAAGGTCCTTTTGCATTTTCTTGATCACGGTGTTGTTTGTGACTTGGCAAGTTCATGAAATCCTGAGCATACGGCGATAGCACCATATTTCAAAGGCTTCTAAGCATTTAGATGTAACATCAATCTTTCAAGGCCCAAGCTTCCACTCTATATGGTGGGGAACACCTAGCACCTTAGGACCTGTGTTCTTATAGCAATATTCAGGTGCATATTGCATATTCGGTTCTGACTTTTTCTACGCGTCATCTAATCTCTCGTGAATGATCCCATTCCTTGTTCAAGCTGCAGCCCAAAATACGTGATAGTATCTGCTGTTTCCAAGGTTTCATTATTCGCCCTAAACTGGTGGTACTGCGCCTTATCATTTTTACTAACTATTAGAATTTTGGTCTTCTTGCAGTTAAGCCTCATATCATACATACACATGCCTCTACTACTCGGTCTATTAATTTCTGCAATCCCTCAGCACTATATGCTATGAGAACGGTATCGTCCGCGTACCTTAAATTATTGATGGTTTCTCCATTGATCTTTATTCCTTCTTCTGTTTCACTGAGCGCTTGTCTAAACAGTATTTCGGTGTACGTATTAAACAGAATTGGTGACAGTATGCATCCCTGACGCACTCCTCGACTCACTGTAAATTCTTGGGAGGTTTCGTTGTCTAGACGCACGGTCGCTCTCTGGTGCAGATACAAATTAGTTATAAGGCGAAAGTCTTTGTCGTCGATACCATATTCCGTTAATATTTCAAATAATTTGTGGTGTTGCACCCTATCAAAATCCTTCTCGAAGTCGATAATACAAGTGTAAACATCGCAGGTTATCTACTTACCTTATAATATTTCCGTTGATATTTAAAATTCAGGTAGAGAAATATCCGGTTTCTGTTCCCAACAGGTAAAGCTTTGTACCTAATGAAAGCATCAACAGCATCATATACAGTATTTTGCATATTCTCACAACTGTAAAACTTATACCAGATTTCCATAGCCTATAAAACACAACGATAAAGAGATACTTACAAATAATTTTAAGCAATCGTTCAAGATCTAAAGGCGGACTCTGAAGACTCGTGTACTTTGCAACAATTTTTTATTGGCATACAGGGTCGGACGGGAGAGCGGCGCGGCGCAGCTCCTAGAATAATATAGAAAAGAAAGAAATATTAAAGTAACATAGAAATTCTCTATTGATGCCCGACACACCGTGTATAGCCTGTATACCAATTACAAATGTTTGTCAAGTACACGAGAAGCCGCCTTAATAAATAAAAAAATAAAGTTTTTTTGTCATATGATGTGCAAATCGTGATCTGTAACTAAGTAAATTAATTTTACACTTAATGCATTTTCCTTGTTAACGATTGCCATTTTTCAGAGTACTTACATAAACCAATACCAGTAGATGTATGACAAATCCGCAAAAAATGAGAAAAATTGATATTAACTTATCAAACAATAATTCCGAGCTGTGATATCCATGACCAACCATCATCACAACTTCTAAAACCGAGGCAGTGAATTGTCCAGCAGTTTTGTTTTTGTAAACAGAAAACTCTCTCTAGTAAAAAATTATATATAAACTTATTTTATAATAATATAATAGACTGTTATAAATGGTGAATTATTAAAAATTACATAGTATACTGAACGACAAAAAGGTGAACACCTAATTTTAATAATTCTTGGCGTACATGATGGCTAATTCTGACCTAGCAATCGATTAGGTTTTTAGTTCTATCAGACAACTTAATGGACAAACTGGATCAATGGTGTGTTGCTGACCTCCGATTTCTGACATTCATTGAGACGCATGGGCATAATTCTGATTAGGTGGTCAATGTTCTCTTGGGGTATCCCTTTCTAAGGCTGCTTTAAAGGCCTTTAGCAGCCCTTATCCATAAAATTGAAGCAGCCTAGAATAGGACAGCCCAAGAGGACATCAACCACCTTGCACTCTCTCAGTGTTCGAAATTCGACAGCCTTGTCCATCCATCATATTTCAGACACTCATTGAGACGCATGGGCGTAGTTCTGATAAGGTGGTCGATGTTTTCTTGGGGTATCCCATTCTAGACTGCTTCAACTTTATTGGGCTTTATACAGGGTTTTTCACCACATACGACACGGAGTATTGTAGCTAAACGATGAGATTTTTACAAATTGTAAGTTTGGGGTTCGTTGAAGGACTATTAGAGCTACAATTTAAAAATATTTTTACAAGATACAGAGTGTCCCAAATAAATAAAAACTATCAAAGTTGTATTTTTTTAAATGGAACACCCTATATATTATTACATTTTTAGTTTCTACGATTAAAATAAAGGTAAATTTGATTAAGGTTTATTTTACTTAAACCTTACCGTTTTTGAAATATTTTCAATTTTGTGAAATTGCAGTAAAAATTTTAAAGCTTCATTTCTCCAAGGCTATCAATGTTTTTAATACTAAATATTTAATGAAGTTTATTTATTGATCAGTTATTGTGTTGCAATAATAAAAATAATACTACCTTATACAGAGTGTCTAAAAATTTATTTTAAATAATTATTAGCTTCAAACGGCAATAACTTCTTTAATTTAAATGCAATGCCCTGTATATTTCAGGAGAATCAGATGCACAATTACATTGTCTATCAAATTGTATTATACCATTTTTTACCTATCTCTTTAAGTTTCCGTAGAAAATCCATTTTATTTAAATCTTTATAAAAGAGTATACCATTAATTAAATATAACACCATTATTTCCACCCATATACTAATTAATTACATACTTAATTGTGTTCGTTAATAAATTATTATAAATAAATGTGGATTTGAGTCAGAAATCAATATAATAATAAGTTATCAAATTAAAGTCTCTGTTGTTATAAATAAGCATTTATTAAAAAATGAAATATCATTTTTAAGGTGTTACTTTTATCACACTGTCTAATGCCCATACAAAATTAAGTTTTTTAGTATTTGGAGCAATTATTATTAATCAACGCAAACAGTCAGTTAATGTAGTTTGAATACTGGAATCATATTAATTGATCCTCTTTAACAAATATTTAAACAGTTTTTTTTTTTATTTTTTAATGAAATAAACGAATTATATCGACAATATTAGTATCTGTACTCTTTAAAAATTTGGTAAATCTTTAAAAATAATCTAAAGTATCAATAGTCCATGGGTATATTGATAAATAAGTTCTAAATTACAAGAAAATGCATTTTCTACGGAAACTTAAAGAGATAGGTAAAAAATGGTATAATATAATTTGATTTAAATTAAACAAGTTATTGCCGTTTGAAACTAATAATTATTTAAAATAAATTTTTAGACACTCTGTATAAGGTAGTATTATTTTTATTATTGCAACACAATAACTGATCAATAAATAAACTTCATTAAATAATTAGTATTAAAAACATTGATAGCCTTGGAGAAATGAAGCTTTAAAATTTTTACTGCAATTTCACAAAATTGAAAATATTTCAAAAACAGTAAGGTTTAAGTAAAATAAACCTTAATCAAATTTACCTTTATTTTAATCGTAGAAACTAAAAATGTAATAATATATAGGGTGTACCATTTAAAAAAATACAACTTTGATATTTTTTACTTATTTGGGACACTCTGTATCTTGTAAAATTATTTTTAAATTGTACCTCTAATAGTCCTTCATCGAACCCAAAACTTACAATTTGTAAAAATCTCATCGTTTAACTACAATACTCCGTGTCGTATGTGGTGAACAACCCTGTATACCTTTTTAAATTTTTTATATATTACATTTTTATAATTTTATAACTTTCGCTTTATACAGGGTCCGGCAATAATGCGTCGGGTACCTGTAGCTCCTAGAATAAAACACTTGAGAATTTTGTTTAAGTGCAAACCTAAAGTATGTACCAGAATGTATTTCCGGAAAATATTTTAACTTCTATAGGGTGGCTCAAAAAAGTGTGAGTGGATCTGAAAGACTTTTTTTAAATAGAACACCCTGTATATTATTGCATTTTTGGGTTCCTTTCAGATCACTTTACATAATCCAAAGATATGAGTAAATTTATTTATTAATAAAATTATATTCTATAATTTTTATTTATTTATTAATATCTCTGAAATTATCGCAATATACAGGGTCGTCCGAACTGTATTCCGGAAACTTCGGAAGCATATTCTGCAGATAAAAATAAGTAAAATAGTTTATAGAAATGTATGTCCTAAAATGCTTAGTTTCAGAGATACAGGGTGTAGAAGTTTCATTTTTATTTCGATTTTTTCTAAATAATTTCTGAAGTAACATCAACATTTGGATGAAAATTGGTGTCTGGGAGTTTTTTGACATGAAAAATTTGATTTTGATGTCAATACGACTCCTACGCCACCTACATGTGTTTTGACTGTTTTGAAGCGCAATAACTTTTTGTCCGTACCTGTATAAAACTACCGAATGAAAAAATACATCTCTGTGACTTTTTACGTAAAAAATATCTCTTTGTAAAAATCGCTACGAGTAACCGTTCTCGAGATATTTAGAATTGAAATAGTCAATATATGTCATTATTGACGAAAATTAAACACGTTGTGTAGATAGTTATTTCACTGAAATAATAAATATGGGAAATTTTTATTTTTTTAAATTAATCATAAATTTTTCTGCAAAAAATGACGATAAAACAGTTTCTGTTAAACTTTTAGCACAAAAACATTCCAAATTTATGATTTCAGTTTAATAACTATTTAGTCAACATGTTTAATTTATGTCAATGATGACACGTATTGATAATTTCGATTCCAAATATCTGGAAAACCATTACTCGTAGCGATTTTTACCAAGAGACCTTTTTCATTTTTTTACTTGGTAGTTTTATACAGGTACGGACGAAAAGTTATTACTCTTCAAACCAGTTAAAAAATATTACAAATTTCTCATGTCAAAAAACTTCCAGAAACCAATTTTCATCCAAATATTGGCGGCAATTAATTCAGAAATTATTTAGAAAAAATCGAAATAAAAATGTAACTTCTACACCCTGTATCTCCGAAACTAAGCATTTGAGAACATACATTTATATGAACTTTTTTGCTTATTTTTATCTGCAGAATATGCTGCCGAAGTTTCCGGAATACAGTTCGGACCACCCTGTATATACTCATGTCTTAGGTTTATGTAAAGTGATCTGAAGGGAAACCAAAAATGCAATAATATACAGGGTGTCCCATTTAAAAAAAAATCATCCCGATCCACTCACACTTTTTTGAGCCACCCTATAGAAGTTAAAATATCTTCCTGAAATACATCCTAGTACATACTTTAGGTTTGCACTAAAACAAAATTCCCAAGTTTTTTATTCTAGGAGCTACAGATGGCCGACGCACTATTACCGGACCCTGTATGCAGAAGAACTGCTAAAGGCCCTTATGCATGAAGTTGAAGCAGCCTCAAGAGCACATCGACTACCTTGCACTTTCACAGTGTTTTAAATTTGACAATCTTATCCACCCATAATATTTCAGACATTTTCAATGGGAGACAGTTCGGGTGATCACGGTAGCCATAGTAAACGGTTAATGTGATGCTGATTCATAAAGGCTATTGATGCTTGAGCACCATATGGTCTGGCATGTCTTGTTGGAAGATGGGGATTTTGGATAGAGTGAAGATAGGGAATCACATGTGACTGCGCCACTGCTTGGATTTAGCAATGGGCTGTGACGTTGCATGTAATGAAAACCAGTTGCGATCTGCTCCCATATGCAATGACACCATAGATAAATGAAACAAGTTTAGATTGGAAAGTGCCCATAAGGACAATGTAAACACTATTTGTCGCTATTCTTGCAACAAAGCTTTTAATAATTTCGGATCGGTTCGGCTTTTTCCGGAATAATGTCGCTAAATATTATTTATTCAAATTATTTATTATTATTTTTATTTTATTTTATAAATAAAGTACAGTGTGTTGCATACAAGAAACTTTATTTTATATAAGGACATGTATGTGAAATACCTATGAAACATTAGTAACCGACGTTGTGCCATGATCCACGATGATTTTTGCAGTTCACAATTCACAATACAGTTTTTTAGTTTTTAATGCCACTTTTTCAAAATTATCACGGGTTTGAGTAAGTAAAATTTAAATTACTCATAAGATAGCAATAATTACTTTGAGAATGGACGATTTTAACTCCTTTCGGTATTTTTTCAATGAGGGCGTTTTAAATCTTATTTTATCTTGAGAATATTATTTATCTTGAGAATATCGCTTTTGAAACCTAAAAAAGAAACATCAAGACGTCTAATGGCACTGGATAAACTACATGATCCAACCGTCAAAAACAACCTAACTAACCAGTTAAATTCGCAGATACAGAGACTGTCTCACAAAATCGAAGGAGATGACGTGACACAATCATGGAAAGAAATAGCAAATGTCCTAAAAACTACCTTACAGACTGTTCTAGGATATAGATCTAACCATAGACTTAGAATAAAATATAGACTACACTATTTACATTTAAGCGCGGTCCAATATTAATTTTTGTAAACATGTTTACTCCTGG